GAGAGAGAGAGAGAGAGAGAGAGAGAGAGAGAGAGAGACAGATGTACTGCTGATGTGAGAGAGAGAGAGAGAGAGAGAGAGAGAGAGAGAGAGAGAGAGAGAGAGAGAGAATGTGTATGTGAAAAAGGAGATGTAAACAGAGAAATCTTTATGTGAACAGTCAATAAACCTCCCCGCGACGAAACGTTTGTATCCATTTCCCGCCAAACGGGGAAAAAGGTGCCGCGCAGCAGCCGCAGACCCCAAATTCAGCGTCATTTTTACACCCTGCAAAACTCTTTCCCGCCATTTTTACACAGCCGCCGTTGCCGGCCCAGCCGGGGTGCAAAAATGACACCAAAAGTGATTTGGGGACCTGCTGCACTTTTTTGAAGTTTTTTCTCTTCTGGTTGGAAATGGATACAAAGGTTTCGTCGCGCAGCGGGAAGGTTTTACGGCTTTTCCCAATCTTGATCTTGTGTGAGCTTTTGTGAAAAGCTTATCTTGTGTGAATTTGTCTCCAATATCCCGACCTAGATGCACGCTGATCGACGAAGGCGGAAGTTGATTCAACTTTTTTTTTTTTTGGCTTCGATCTGACCAGTGACTTGGCTGCAGATTACGCTCTAGTAGCGATCGACCTCCGACTTGCGGCAGTCATACTGGTTCGCCCCAGGACTTGTGTGTGTGCGTTTCGCCTTTTTTTTCTTATTTTGTGTTTTTTTTTTCTTGTGTTTCCTAGGCAACTCTAGACTGACTTTGAATATGGCATAGGCTTCGCTTTTGTGTCCTTCACGCAGACATTTTTCTCTTATTTTTTTTAAATAACAAAAGTAAAAAGGGCTGATTTTTTGCCTTGCACTCTCTCTTTTTCGAACGCGCAGTCTGAGCAAGAAATCCACAAGCGCAGCCAACATCCCAAGGTCAGAAATTCTTCTGACGCAATCTCTGCAACAGCAGCAGCAGCAGCAGCAGATCTGATACCAACGACAGTCCGTCTATAACAGCCATGGCTGGCGCTCAGCAGTCGCTGTCGCAGTCGCAGCCTCAGCCTCAGCCGCAGGCTCTGTCGGCAATCCCGAAGCGCGCTCTGATCACTGGCATCACTGGCCAAGATGGTTCTTATCTCGCCGAACTTCTGTTGGGCAAAGGATATGAAGTACATGGAGTCATCCGTCGGTCTTCCAATTTCAACACTCAGCGAATCAATCATATCTACGTCGATCCCCATGCCGCGGGAGCGCGCTTGAAACTTCATTACGGCGACTTATTAGACAGCAACAGCTTGCGCAGGGTGATCGACATGGTCAATCCCGACGAGGTGTACAATTTGGCGGCAATGTCCCACGTGGCAGTCTCGTTCGAGAACCCAGAATTCACTGGGGACGTGACAGGGACCGGCGCGCTGCGTCTGCTGGAGGCCGTTCGGTCGCACATTCGATCGACCGGTCGCAAGGTGAAGTATTACCAAGCCGGGTCGTCGGAGATGTACGGCTCCACCCCCCCCCCTCAGTGCGAAAAC